CAAAGATACAAATGTAGTGATCCGAAGTGGGCACATGCACTCCAATGTTTATAGCAGCAATGTCCACAATAGCCAAACCATGGAAAGAGCCTAGATGTCCATCAACAGATGAATGGATAAAGAAGATGTGGTATATATACATATATACATACACACACACACACACACACACACACACACACACACACACACAATGGAATATTATGCAGCCATCAAAAAAAGAAATCTTGCCATTTGCAATGGTGTGGATGGAACTAGAGGGTATTATGCTAAGTGAAATAAGTCAATCAGAGAAAGACAATTATCATATGATCTCATTGATATGAGGAATTTGAGAAACAAGGCAGAGGATCATAGGGGAAGGGAGGAAAAAATGAAACAAGACAAAACCAGAGAGGGAGACAAACCATAAGAGACTTTTAATCTCAGGGAACAAACAGGGTTGCTGGAGTGGAGGGGGTTGGGAGGGATGGGGTGGCTGGGTGATAGACATTGGGGAGGGTATGTGCTATGGTGAGCGCTGTGAATTGTGTAAGACTGACGAATCACAGACCGGTACCCCCGAAACAAATAATACATTATATGTTAATAAAAAAAATTTTTTTTAAAGGTTAAAAAAAAGTGGCATGTTCAGCTAGCAACTCCAAGGATCACCCACGTGCTTTCGTTGAGACACTCTACTCCACTGTGCCACCTGGGGTTTTGCACATACTTCTCACCTAGTTGCTAGAGTCCTACAAATGCACATCCCAGTGACGCAGGGCAGGAACAGCAGGGACCTTTACTGCTGCATCGCTCCGGTAGCATCAGGGACCCCAGCGGACCACACTTGGGAAGTTGCTGCTCCACAGAAATGTTCTCTATGCATATGGATGTTTATTACCATGGCATTTCTCTGTAAGTGATGGCAAACAACTGGAAGTAATCTAAATAACCATCCCCAGGAGAATGAATAAATGAATTGTCCTCTGTTCGTGTAGTGAAATGCTATACGGTAGTGAAAATGAGTGGACTAGAGCCGTAGGTGTCAACACATGCACACACACACACACACACACACGCTCATTCAGTGTTGGTTGTGACGTACTCTGCACAATCTGTCTCTATTCCAACAGCTTCAGTATAAATGTGTCACTGTTTTGGGGAGGGTGGGAGTTCGTTGAGATGTAAATTATAAATAAGTAATTCTCGATGTAAATCATTATATAAATGAGAAGTACCAAGTTTTATTGTTTTATTATTATAAGATAAAATCTAAAAATAAGGAAAAAGTAAAAGAAGAAACAGGAAGAAAAGCCCACTTGAACCTCTCCACCAGTTATGTTTGGTGCTATTCTGCACGTGACATAAATACACCCGTGCTCATCCCGTACAGACAGTTTGATCTCCCACTGTGCTACTTGTGGTCACAGCAGGTGCGCTATGGTTTGAATGTCACTAGTCTTGGTGGGACTCTGTGAGAATCCTTTTGGTTAGTTCTCCTACAATTGCAGAGGAAAAGCAATAAGTATGACCTGAGATGTCAAGAACCAGAAATTATATTTATCAATTAAAGTTCTTCATTTTCTCTTTTCTCATTCTAGAAGATTTGTGTGTTTTTAGGCAGTTTCGACCTGAGTCTGATTAAGTATATTCCCTACTAATTCATGTAATTTTTATTTTTAAAGTCAACAGCGTCAACAGTTTCCAACAAGAAAAGGATACTCTTACTGATCAAACAAAGGTGGGGTTTGGAAGTCACTGTCTTCATAAACAAAGTGAGATCACACTTGACTCAGAGATTTGATCGCAATTTCATCTTTTTTAGTTCCTGCTCGATGTTCAGTTTGCAGAAAATAAATTAGTAACTAGATGTGGCCTTTTGGAATCTAAAGGGACTGCTAGAGAATTATAGAGGATTCTTTTATGTCTACTAGAATATGAAGAGTCTGTGAACATCAGAAATCAGCCACACGGCGCTAGCCCAGAGCTTTCTCCACACTGTTTTCTTCTTTATGGAGTTAAAATATATTGAACTTGACATCCTCCAGTGTGTGAACTTTGGACAGCCCAGGGAGGCAGTCACGCTTTGTTATGAGCTCAGGCCACCTTATGAATACTTCCTTCCCATGGTTCTTGTCATCAACTCATTCAAATACAGTTAACCTTTGAACAACATGGGCTTGAAGGCATGGTCCACTTATATGCAGATTTCTTACAGGACAGTGCTGTGAATGTATTTTCTCTTATGATTTTTTTTTTAAATTTTTTATTGTTATGTTAATCACCATACATTACATCATTAGTTTTTGATGTAGTGTTCCATGATTCATTGTTTGTGCATAACACCCA